GAATTTCATTCTTTAAATGTATTAAGACTCATTTTATGGCCCTCCCATTATATGAAGATTTTTAAAGGAATAGGGTTCTGCTTATTCTTATTTCCTGACATGCTGTTACTTGTTATAGCCATTTTATCTGCCAAAAACATGAAGAAAAAGAGCACACAAATCAATTGGAAAGAAATACATAAATATTAACTATAATGAGACCCTACAATTTGGTGCCATTGTAGTTGTGTCCTCTGCAAGTTCCCTGTATTCTCTTAGAACTTTCCCAACATTACTGACACTAATAATCCACTTTATAGTCACCTGATCATTTAAAAACTGTATTCTATTTCTATATTCAACTTTTTACTCAAGCACTGTACACAATCAACAACAAACAGTTCAAAATAAATGAAACAACAGACTCCTCCTTAATGTAAAACCCTAAGGTGAAGTCTGCCTAAGAAAGCTATTCTGACAGTGCCATTTGCTGACAGAAAAGAAAAGCATGCACATAGGGACTATTGAGATAATTCAGGACGTCATTATATTGAACCACTCTAAAAGCCTGGTTGATATCTGAAAACAATCTTTCAGAATCCTGAGATAACTACTCATCATTGATCTTGGAAGGCAGCTCCTGACAAATTAGCACTTCTATAACTGGGTTACTTTCCGAAAGAGTTGTTATTTGCATTAAGAATTCAGTATACATTTCAGCTTTACTTTATTGAAGCTGGCAACATGTCAACCTTATAAACTTCAGCAGAGGTAGTTCTCCTGAAGGGGACAGTACAGTTTGGGAGATGCCACTGTTGACAATATAATAATTAGAATGAAATAAATAATGTTGCATGAATCAATTTTCAATATTGATCATTTTGATTATTAAAGCAAAAAGGGATCAACACTAAAAACAATGCCTAATATAAACCTGCTTTCAATTTTGTCTCTCTTTACTGTCCTAAGCAGTTTGTATCCATATATGAATAATATGACTGTCAAACGCCCATCTATTGATTGCATTACTACATACAATCCTATATTTTGCCTCCATCAAGGCTTCCCTGCCATGTGTGTTTTTCCAGTTTTCTCTTATATACGCTCATTCAAAGCAAGGGCATCATTAACATAAGCTTACACTTCAGTATCTACCTCATCATGGCCACTTGGCTGCCGTTTCTTAATCTGATTGTCATTTTCTGGGAAGCAAGTTAATAAATAAATAATACATTTACCACACACATAGCCTAGCCAAGAAAAATGCCATTGGATTTGTCTTCACACAAACTGTATACTTTGAAACTACCGACATACAATAATCATGAAATATTGTCTACAGAGGGATTTGAGCCTGCTACGTCTACTGCGAATGCTTGATCTGTGGGCTCATTCCAGAACCGGGGGAGCCATGTTTTCAGCATAGACAGAGTGCATCATTGGCAACCTGACGTTCTTGCTTCCCTGTCAAGTAAACACACACACACATACACACACACACACACACACACACACACACCCCACACACACGGGCTCTCATCTAAATAAGCCATACAGTGTTTACAGGGTGGATGGTTCAAAATAAAAGCTTGTATTTCAGTACCTATTGGGCCTTTCAATGAGATAATAATGTCCATGTTTTCTTGCTCTTTCAGCACACTTCTATAAAGCTAAGTAAACATTACACAAGATAAAATTCTTTGTGTTCTGTATAATTGACTGACTACTTCAAACTGACACCTTCATCTGTGGCTTTTACGTATTTCTGATTCATTCATTCTCAAGAATAGACCAGCACTAAGGACAAAGATATGGCTTTAAAAAATTCCAAATAAGAATTTGTTCAAATTATCTGGAAGGAAACACACATAATACCAAATTTTTAAAAATTCCTATTACAACGTTAAAATCGAGAAGAGTATTTTAGAGAATTGTCCTGATAAATTTCTCTAACTTTAGAGTATGGATGGTATTCTGGTTAATTTCTTCATGTTAACATTACTTTATCAATCTAATCAATTTTGTCCTTTCACTGTTGTCTTTGCATTACCTAGCACAACTTATTAATTTATTATGTATTAATTTATGAATATATAATTATTATAAATAAAACTGAAACCTGGCCGGGCACAGTGGCTCAAGCCTGTAATCCCAGCACTTTGGGAGGCCAAGGCGGGTGGATCACGAGGTCAAGAGATCGAGACCATCCCGGTCAACACGGTGAAACCCCGTCTCTACTAAAAATACAAAAAATTAGCTGGGCGTGGTGGTGCGTGCCTGTAATCCCAGCTACTCAGGAGGCTGAGGCAGGAGAACTGCCTGAACCCGGGAGGCGGAGGTTGCGGTGAGCCGAGATCGTGCCATTGCACTCCAGCCTGGGTAACAAGAGCGAAACTCCATCTCAAAAAACAAAACTGAAACCTGTGTAATTTATTCAAGCAATGGCTCTTTCGAAAATTCTAATTTAGTATTCAAATTTTTTTGCAATTAGGAATATTTCAGTGATTGGAAATAAAATACTATCCTGGTATGACCGTCGGTGGTAAATGCTATCGTTACGGCACATGTTTTGTAAAAGGACTGCCAATTTTCATTGTATTAACTATAAACCAATTGAACCTATTTTAATAATGTTACACATACTTATCACTTAAGAAAATACATCAAATAAAATATATTTTATGTTGTGTAAATATATGTGTGTTGTATAACTACCTTGACATTCTAATACATTACTGAAATTATAACCTGAATATTTGATGATTTGACTGTATCTCATTAAATAAATCACATGGACCTAATTTTCAAGCATTACTCATTCTAGGAATGCTCTACAGAAACAGAGGCATGAGTGCATAAAAACTGGCATATTCTATGTGTATGGTATCTTGCAGTAGCAAAACATTGATAACCATTATTCTGCAAACAAGAAATTGCTAAACAGAATGTGGTGTCCTTTATATTTACTGAGGACACTGGCACATTTACCGTTTTTGACATAGAGATCTCAAGACCTATAGGACCTCACGAGATTGTATAACATATATTACTACCAAAATGTAATGTGGCCAATCTAAAGCTCATTTACAATAAAATTAATTGGTTATGATTGATGAATATTATATATAATGATAAATGGATTGACAGATACTTGTATTAGCATAGAAAGGTTTTCCCTGATATAGGGCAGATGATTAAACATTTTACTGCTGGAAGACATAAAAATACATCTGTCATAAATAATTTTATATTCTTCTATATTGTTAAGCTTCCTTAAAATGAAGTGGTTATTCTTGGCAGTAATTTATGGCTGGAGCTCTTTGATCTTAAACTAAAAAAGGGAAAACTAGGCAAGCAGGACCTAAAGTTGAAAGACATTTTAGCTTTCATGCGTCAAGAACTCAAAAGGCGAAAAGCATTATCAGTTGTATATTGACCAAGGAATGGCCAAGGAAATTCTTAAACAGGAAGTTCATTGTTCTGACTTTTGGCTTTATACTTTATCCGACTTCAACAATATTTCCCCAAATTCTCAACCATACAATGCATGTGGGCCTCTACTAAGATCTATGAGGAAGGCCAGGCACGGTGACTTACGCCTGTAATCCCAGCACTTTGGGAGGCTGAGGCAGGTAGATCACAAGGTCAGGAGATTGAGACCATCCTGACTAACATGGTGAAACCCTGCCTCTACTAAAAATACAAAAAAATTTAGCTGAGTGTGGTGGCATGCGCCTGTAGTCCCAGCTACTTGGGAGGCTGAGGCAGGAGAATCACTTGAACCCAAGAGGCGGAGACTGCGGTGAGCTGAGATCAAGCCACTGCACTCCAGCCTGGGCGACAGAGTGAGACTCTGTCTCCAAAAAAAAAAAGAAAAGAAAAAATCTATGAGAAAATCTCACATGTGTTGTGGAAATAATCACACTAAATATTATACTATATTTGTCTGTATATTCAATTATATAGCACGTAGAATGGAAAAGCATCAAGACATCACATTAATTCCCTCTCTGCAAAACAAGAGATATGTACCAGTTCAAATGATTTTGCAAAGAAAGTATAAAGAATTGAGTACCAAAACACGTGACTACATCGGGACAATACTGCAATCTTTAATCGAGTTGGGATCGTTCAGCATGTTTTTATAACAGAGAAAAAAAATAAGATAATTTAAGAATAGGCATAGAAAAAATATGCATGTGTTAAAATAAAAATACTTGAGTAACTACTCATGATACGATTTGCTAAAAAGTCCTGGGCTAAAGAGAGAACCCACTTGATCTATTATAAGGGCATCAATCAATAAGCACCATGTCATACACAATCTACATCACACTTTTTTATGTATTAACCAATATTTTGACTAGTTCAATGAGATTTTTTTACTTTCTATTGAAGAATGATATACATGTAGAAAAGTGAATACACTAAAATTGTAAAGCTCAATATATTTGCATGATTCAAACAGCAAGTACTCAACACACAGATCAAGAAATAAAAATTACATGCATTCTAGAAACCACCCAGGGCTCTTACATCTACTATTATCTCAGACATGCCATAAATATAAGAACATTTCATATATAACTTACCTTATTGCAACAACCAGAAAAAGACCAATTCAAGTCAATCTTTAATAATTAAATTAAAAGCACAAATACAATGTAGTATAACCACAAAGATCTCATGAACCATGGAGTCTCTATTCTGAAACCCCCATAATTAAACAGATGAAGAAAATATGTTAATATTTTGGCACAACTGGATTTCACCACAATAAATTTTGATCCAATATGAAATTGCCAAAAGTTCTCTTAATTTCTACACTTTTCCATAAAAGGAGAGAAGACTTAAAACAGAAATGATAATAGTGTAGGTGACATGGTGAGGGTCTCAAGAAGGAAAAGGACATATGAAAATGTCCCTTCAGTAAGCCTCTGAAAAGATGTACACAAAGACCTAAAGACCTACAAAGAGCATACAACATATGAATTTCAAAAGATAATGGTTTAGCCACTCACCCCATTTCTCTGAAGTAGAAGATCCGATTCCAGCCCTTCTATCTCAGCAAAACATGAAAGAAAAAAAAAAAGTAAACATAATCTTAGAAAATACATCACAGTAAAATAAGCACTAAAATGGGTTCCACTGTTGTTATTTCACGTCGGCATGCCGTATTTCCTTCCTTTAGCACAACACTAATGAGATTTTCAGTACCCATCACAGCTGCTTGACCCTTAATTGAATCTTTTAAAGTTTTTCATTTCTTCCTTAAGAATATGTATCCCATATATAACTATCTACCTACAATTCTCTGTTCAAATGAACAAAATAAAGCAAATCTTGGGCCACTAAGCTTAAAGTGCACACCGACTCATAAGACAGGATGCTAACGCCCTCTTCGGAGAGGTAGAAAAGGCATGCTCACAGGGGTACTATGTTGTCACTGAAGATCACCAAATAGAGCCAGGCTCTGAGAGTCTTATTTGTCTTACTGGAGGGCCGCACATCTGGACCTCAGATTGACATCTGGAATGAGTCCCTCAGCGTCCTCAGACAAGGATTCTCATCATCGATCCAAACAAGCACCCTCCCGACAAATAAGCATTTGCATACCAGGCTTATTCTGTGCCTGCTTATCTAGTGCATCATCAGTCAGAACAGCAAATGTACAGCAGACATTCTGTTTAGTATCTGAATAATGGAACTCTCAAATACATAGGATGATAAACCATGTGACTGAATTGTTCTAATAAAATTAGATTAAAATCTGGCTGGGCACCGTGGCTCACACCTATAATCCCAACACTTTGCGAGTCCAAGGCGGGTGGATCTCATGATTAAGAGTTCAAGACCACTGTGGCCAAGATGGTGCAACCCTGTCTCTCCTAAAAATACAAAAATTGGCCTGGCGTGGTTCCGTATGCCGTAATCCCAACTACTTGGGAGGCTGAGGCAGGAGAATTGCTCGAACCTGGGAAGCGGAGGTTGCAGTGAGCCGAGATCATGAAACTGCACTTTAGCCTGAACAACAGAGCAAAACTCTGTTTCAATTTTAAAAAAAAAAATCTATTGAGGAACTTTATAAAAACTCTTTAGTCAACTAAAAATTTAAGGAGTGAGGTAGCATAATATATGGTATGATTACAGTGCTAACATATATAGAAACATCTATGTTATAAATGTGCCAGATAAAGATTAAAAAAAAAAAACACATTATTAGAACACTTGAATTTCACTACAAGATTATTTTCACTCAACATGAACAGTAACAAAAGGAAGTAAGTCAGTGATTCTCCACAATTGCTTAAGTCATTTCAAAAACAAATTTAAACAAAGAGAGAAAAAAGAATGAGAAATCCCTGAACAAGGTAGGGACACATACACAGAAATACAAGTAGCAAAAGAATAATCTCCTTTAAGCCTCTGAAAAGAATGAACTCAGTCCTTGACGTTCTGACATCACTGCCCACAGAACACACAAAGAATTTCGAAAGTACCAAAGTGGCTGCTCACCTCTTTTCCCTGAGGTTTCCCTGAAGTTGCTTCAGCTTTTAACCTGCAGCAAAGTATCACACAGAAAACAAATCAGATCAGAGAATGCTCCAAATTAATAAAAAATAAAGCACATTGGTTCCATTATAATTACTTCTCATACAGGCATCTCAGCACTCTGATACGTGCTACAAATACCAGCATGGCTTGATCTCACACCTATGTCATTTATTAACTTGTTTCCTCCTTGAATTGTTTACTCTAAAAATAGCCAATTTTCCCTCTACCAAGCTATCCAAGTGCACAGCAGTTGTCTCTTGAATGGGAAATGCTAAAGTTATAGTCAACCAGTCAAGATTTTATGAAAATACACTGTGATGTGAAAAATGAAAGACACATGATAGTGGTATTGTGAGATCACTGAAGAGTTCACCAGTTCAGCCTACTCTGAATGTGTTATTCATCCTGTTGCAACAGAACAGGTGGCCGCTCATTCAGCCACACCTCACATCCCAGATGCTTGGGCTCCTCCTTGATCCTAACGACTCCACCACCAATAACTACACATTCCTCACACCACACAGATGCTCCTAACAATGTGACTCCCGAATTCAGCTCATAGTAGACAACAGCACAGGTGGATGTCTGACTTGACTTTAGTGAGACTGGCTCTCACAACTACTCCAGAAGCTTCTCAGGACCCTCTGGTCTACAGCAATGCATGAAGTGATATTGCAGTGGGATGGCTGTCAATGCTGATGTTTAATAAATATGAAAGAAATAAAAAGTCAGGAGTTAACTGTGAACTTGGATTACTGTGAACTTGGAGTGTATCATTTTTTTTTTTTTTTTGAGATGGAGTTTTGCTCTTGTTACCCAGGCTGGAGTGCAATGGCGCGATCTCGGCTCACCGCAACCTCCACTTCCTGGGTTCAGGCAATTCTCCTGCCTCAGCCTCCTGAGTAGCTGGGATTACGGGCACACGCGACCATGCCCAGCTGATTTTTTGTATTTTTAGTAGAGACGGGGTTTCACCATGTTCACCAGGATGGTCTCGATCTCTTGACCTCGTGATCCACCTGCCTCGGCTTCCCAAAGTGCTGGGATTACAGGCTTGAGCCACCGCGCCCGGCCTTGGAGTGTATCATTTCAAAGATGATTAAAGTATGTTAGGGTCTATTTGACAGCAGCATACAACATGACATTCCTTCAATGTGACAGGTGTATATTCCCTATTCAGGGCAGAAGACCAGCATACAAATGTCACTAATATTGTGACAGTGTAGAAATAATACAACTAAACACAGGAGGAGGAAAGAAAAAGAGGAAAACTGAAAGCACTCATATTGCATAAGCAATAGGGAAGTGTTGAAGAACATCCCCAAAATGATAAATCAGAAGTAAAAGATTAACTAGGAGAACACAGAACTAAAGGAATTAGGAGAGGTACAGAAGTAAACCCTCCAACATAAATAAAAACTCTCCTAAGCGGCCAGGAGCAGTGGCTCACACCTGTAATCCCAGCACTTTGGGAGGCCGAGGCAGGTGGATCACGAGGTAAGGAGTTCAAGACCAGCCTGACTAACATGGTGAAACCCCGTCTTTGCTAAAAATATAAAAATTATCTGGGTGTGGTGATACACACCTATAATCCCAACTACTTGAGAGGCTGAGGCAGGAGAATTGCTTGAACCCGGGAGGCAGAGGTTGCAATGAACCAAGATTGCACTGCTGGACTCCAGCCTGGCCAACAGAGCAAGACTCTGTCTCAAAAAACAAACAAACAAAAACTCTCCTAAGTATGAATAAATAAAGAGGTGAGCAATACACACATAGACACACACACACACACACACACACACACACACACACGTGAGTGGACTCCACACATTTACTAGAAGAAAAATATTTTTAGCAGGCTCACCAAATAAAACATAGTATGTTTTCTATGAGAGATACCTTTAAAACAAATGAATTCTAAAAGACTGAAAATAAAGGGATGGGCGAAAGCGTATCAGATACATGAAAACAAAAAGAGATTAGGAGCAGTGATTCTTTTTTTTCCCCGCATCAACTGCATGCAGGAGTAGTGATTCTTACATCACGTAATGGAGAATTCAAGACCCACAATATTAACCAAGGCAAAGAAGGACACACTTTTTATGCTAAAAGATATAATATACATGAAGATCTGACCCTTATGAAGACTTATGTAGCAAATAACATAATCATCTTTATTAATTAAAAACTACATGAGATATTAAGAACACAAGACATAGATCCCATAACAGAAAACTATAGCCGGGCACGGTGGCTCACGCCTATAATCCCAGCACTTTGGGGAGGTCAAGGCAGGCAGATCACAAGGCCAAGAGATCAAGACCAACCTGGCCAACACGGTGAATCCTCACCTTTACTAAAAATACAAAAATTAGCCGGGTGTGGTGATGCACACCTGTAGTCTCAGCTATGTGGCTGAGGCAGGAGAATCACTTGAACCCAGGAGGCAGAGACTGCAGTGAGCTGAGATCATGCCACTGCACTCCAGCCTGGCAACAGAGTGAGACTCTGTCTCAAAAAAACAAAAAAGAAAAAACAGGAAAACTATAATACACCATTATCAGAGAAAGACAGATCAAGTGGGCAAAAACGGCAACATAAAAATAGGGTACATTTTACGGCTACATATTAAAGTTGACAGATTACAGAAGATATGTATTATTCTCAAGTGCCCATGGGATAGTCACCAAAAACTGATCATATATTAGGTTGGAAAGAAAAATTAGTAACTCTAAGAAATACTAAAAACTGCACTCTCCGATCACAATGCAAAAAACAGACTTTACTGGCCAGTTTGTGACTCACACCTTTAATCCTAGCACCTTGGGAGGCCAAAGAGGGCAGATCACAAGGTCAGCAGATGGAGACCATCCTGGCCAACACGGTGAAACCCTGTCTTTACTAAAAATACAAAAATTAGCTGGGCATGGCGACATGCGCCTGTGGTCCCAGCTACTTGGGAGGCTGAGGCAGGAGAATTGCTTGAACCTGGGAGGTGGAGGATGCAGTGAGCCAAGATAGCATCACTACACTCCAGCCTGGTGACACAGCAAGACTCTGTCTCAAAAAAAAAAAAAAAAAAAAAAAAGCCGGGCGCAGTGGATCAAAACTGTAATCCCAGCACTTTGGGAGGCTGAGGCGGGTGGATCACGAGGTCAAGAGATCGAGACCATCCTGGTCAACATGGTGAAATCCCATCTCTACTAAAAATACAAAAAATTAGCTGGGCATGGTGGCGCATGCCTGTAATCCCAGCTACTCAGGAGGCTGAGGCAGGAGAATTGCCTGAACCCAGGAGGCAGAGATTGTGGTGAGCCGAGATCACGCCATTGCACTCCAGCCTGGGTAACAAGAGCGAAACTCCTCCTCACAAAAAAAAAAAAAAAAAAAAAAAAAAAAAAAAAAAAAAAAAGAAAAGAAAAGAAAAAAGACTTCACTAACAATAACATAGAGGCTTTTTCACCAAGAAATTTTTTAAAATCTCCTATTAACTCCCGAGTAAAAGGAAAAATATAAACAGAAAATACATATTTATTTTTATATCTAAATATGTATTTTATTTGCAAATACACATTTACATATTTTAAAATATGCAACATTATGATAATCTATAATATGCATTTAAAGCAATCCTAGAAGAAAATTCATTGCACTAAACATTTTATTTTTAAAAATGAAATAGATGAACAAAAGAATTTTATCTTAAAACACTGAAGAGCAGCAAAAATAAGTACAAGAAAGAAAGAAATAAGGATCAAAGCAGAAATTAATGAAGATATTTTTAAAACCATAGATGATAATTGAGAAGCCTGTGGTTTTTTATTAACTACATAGGCACTCTACTAGCTAACTTTATCAATAAAGGGAGAAAACACAGATATAGAAAGTAACGCTCCATGAGCACTGGAACATCGTGTGCATTCTGCTATTGTTGGGTGTCATGTTCGACTCCCACCAATGGAGTCAAGTGGGTTAATAGTGTTCTTATATCCACCTTTACTCATTATCTTACCCATGTTCAATCACACACAAGAAAGGAGCACTGAAATTTCAAACTTTCGGAATGGTGAAATTTTTCATTTCATTTCAAAAGCCTACGTTGGAAATGTAGCCCTCAACGCAACAATGTTTAATAAAGCAACATTTAAAAGGTGATTACGCTGTGAGGGCTCTGCCCTCATCAATGGATTAATGCTGTTATTTCATGGTGGATTCCTATAAAAAAAAGACATTGGTCCCATCCATACCCTCTCTTTGCTCTTCTACCATAGGATGGATGACACGGCTAGAAGGCCCCTCACCATACGCCAGCCCCTTGATCTTTCCAGCCTCCGAAACGTGATCCAATAAATTTCCATTCATTACAAATACTCAGGCTGTGGTATTCTGTTACATAAGAGCAAAACTGACTGAGGCAGAAAACTGGCAACCTAAGTGTAGATATCCAGTTGTCCCAGCAACATTTGTTGAAAGACTGTTCTTTCCCATCACAGAGAGGACAATGTCCAGATAACACGCCTTCTTGGGGTGCAGGAATCATAAGCAGTCTTGGGTTCTTTGCGTGTGCCTCTATGGCATGATATTACTGCCACAAACGATGGCTTGAGTGACCAGAACCCCAGTATTCTCAGCACACTGTGCCCAAAATAGAACTTCTGTTCTGCAGAAGGGACTGGGCAGAAAATGAGAGCGCCACCTTTCAACTATTTGCCCAGGACTTAGCCTCAACAACAGGTAGCTGGCAGCCAGAACAGAACTGCTAGTGTCCTGCTTGCCAAGGAAGGAAGCCTTCCTTCCAGGTGCTAGGGAAAGATGGAATCGTGTGCTCTGGCTTAAGAAGTCTTGAGCAGACTCTGCCTCACTGAGAAGGGAAACGAGAGAAGAAGCGCTCTTGTTTCAATCATCGCAGACCCACCTTTCTTTATGAAGTTTATAGGTTTTTGAAATAGATGTTTCATTTAATGTTTGCTCTTAGGACCATTTTAAGAGGCTTTAAATGGCTTTTAGTTTGCTTAGTTTTCAAAGGTTTCACTGGGGATTGCATCAGTTTCATGCCAGAAATTGGTCTCATAAACCTAGAGATTTTAATGTTATTTCTTGATATGGACCACACCATAAGCTTTAGATGACACAGTGTGGTGAGCAACCAAATTTAACTGTCTAGAGAAACCGTCAGGATCTTTTCAGTTATAAGTACCATTAATTATCCACATATACAACATAGAAAGCTCCAAATAAAATAATGTGAATTTGTCTATGTGTACATTTGAACCCCAAAGGGTATCTCACCACAGAGGTTATGTCAGTGAGTCAGGAAGCGTTTAAACTTTCTCAGACAACGGAGCTAGGGTAAAAACTGAAGACCTTTCATAAGGATTGGATCATCTATGTGAATTACTAAAGGAAAAGAAAAATCACACTCAGATGCCCTGAAATGATGACCCTAAATATCACAGAGGCCAGTCAAAAATAGACCAAGGTCTAATAAAAATTTCTCAGTCAGCAAAGATACAACCACTTCTGAACCACAAAAATTGCATCTCCAGCTAGCAAAATGTTCTCAACACACAATGGCAGAGAAAGAACCAACACATATTTTCTCTGAAAATACATTAAAATTAAGGACTCAAACCACTGAAGTTGGACTTGAAACCAAAACCATATAAATACTAGAAGAAAAACTAAGAAGAACTCTTTTGGACGCGAGTCTAGGCAAAGTCATGACTAAGACCTCAAAAGCCCAAGGAACGAGGATGGACAAACGGAAATTAATTGAATTTAAAAGGTTCTACAGAGCAAAAGAAACAATCAACAAAACAGACAACCTGCAGAATAGGAGAAAATATTTGCAACCTATGAAACTGACAAGGAACTGATATCCAGAATGTACAAGGAACTCAAACAACTCAGCCAAAAAACCCACATGAACAACCCCATTGAAAAGTAGGCGAAGAATGTGAGTAGACATTTTTAAAAGAAGACACACAAATGGCCAACAAGCATGTGAAAAAAATGCTCATTGTTACTACTCAGAGAAATCCAAGTTAAAACCACAATGAGGTATCATCTTATATCAGTCAGAATGGTTATTATTAAGAAGTCAAAAAATGACAAAGGATACAGAGAAAAGAGAATGCGTATACACTGTTGGTGGAAACGTAAATTAGTATGAAAACAGTATGGAGAATTCTCAAAGAACTCAACACAGAACTACCATTTGAGCCAGTGATTCCACTACTGGCATATACCCAAATGAAAAGAAATCATTGTATCAAAGATACCTGCACCCATATGTTTATCACAGTAAAGACATGGAATCAACCTAAGTCATCAGAGGATGACTGGATAAAGAAAATGTGGGGGCGGGACTCAGTGGCTCACACCTGTAATCCTCGCACTTTGGGAGGCCGAGGTGGGTGGATCACAAGGTCAGGAGTTCGAGACTGTCCTGGTCAACATGGTGAAACCCCATCTCTACTAAAATACAAAAAAATCAGCCAGGCGTGGTGGCGGGCACCTGCAGTCCCAGCTACTTAGGAGGCTGAGGCAGGAAAATCGCTTGAACCTGGGAGGCAGAGGTGGCAGATCATGCCCCTGCACTCCAGCCTGACGAAAGAGCATGACTCCATCTCAAAAAATAAAAGAAAAAGAAAATGTGGTATGCATGTAACATAACCCCTTGAATCTAAAATAAATGTTAACATTATTTTTTTTTAAAGAAAAGAAAATGTGGTATGTATATACAATGAAGTATTATTCAGCCATCACAAATAATGAAATTGTGCTTTTTGCAGCAACATGGGTGGAACTGTAGGCCACTATCTTAAGTGAAACAACTACTAAAGAGAAAGTCAAATACCCTATGTTCTCACTTCTAAGTGGGAGCCCCAAATAATGTGTATACATGAAAACAGAATGTGGAATAATCGTCACTAGAGACACAGAGGGTGGGAGGATGGGACGGGTTGAGGAGCAAGAAACTACTTAATGGCTACAATGGACACTGCTTGGGCGACCGTTACACTAGAAGCTCAGGCCTCACCATACACAGTACATCCATGTAACAAAACTGCACCTGTACCCCACATATACGTATAAAATAGCAAGTTGGGCTTGAAAGGATCAGAAAACGCTTCTCATGTAAGCAGATATACAAAGTGGGTAAAACAAGTTTCCTACAGGAGTCATTATATCAAGCCCATAAATAAATATTTTTATGGGGTGGAACTAAGAGCACACGCACAATCCTAGAGTTAACATCTAGGACTCAGTGTATTCCAATTGAGCATAATTTTTATGTCAATATAACTCCTCATGGCAAAAACAGGTCTCATTGACCTAAGTTATGGACTATCCACACAAACGTCAAGTTGGTCCTATAAACTCTTACCAGATTCTATATCCTTAAACTCTGGTGACAAAGTGAACAGGAAACCGGGACAGTCATTATAGGACTCCTGTGCAGTGACCAGGTGCCCCAGAAGCCTCAGAGTTCACTTTTTAATTATTCTTTATAACTTTGATAGTATTAGGACAATAGTTCAAAATGAAAACCGTATCTCTCACGTGTGCATGGCTCACATTGACTATCGTAATTTATATACACAGAATATTATCCTTACTATTAAAAGACCTTCCTACTTAGGCTGTAGCCTAGCAAACACCAAACATGGACATAACAAAGGAAACAGGTCCTTAACAAGTTCCTGAATATATCTTCAAGAAAGCAGTATCAAGAACAACAGTAATTTACCACAGCATTTACTTTCTATTATAAGCAAATAAATAAAGCAATATAAATATCAGGAACTTTAAAAGATATCAAGCTTCATATATTTTATTCAATATTACATAGGCAACATGAGATTTATGTGAATCTCAATCTTGAGGTCACTATTGGCTATGTCTTTCAGCTAGGAGTAGTTCATCAATTATCAGAACACATTACAACACCACAGCCACCTCAATTATATAACAGGGATGAATTTATCTATGCATGCACTTCGACTATAATAAATACAAAGATATACCATAAAATCACAAAAGTTACCAAGTTTCAATTAAAGCAAATTCAGATAAAAAGTACAGATTTTCTCATGAAGATCTTATGAAGTAGGCCAGCCAGTGGTAAGGAAAAAACTTATTACGATATTCAGCCTTCCTGACTGAACAAAACTAAATATTTTAGTGTCCTATTTTCACTAGTCTAGTGCTCTATTTAAAATCTTACCAACGAGGCCAGGCGCAGCCACTCACATCTGTAATCCCAGTACCTCGGGAGGCCAAGGTGAGCAGATCATGAGGTCAGGAGATCAAGACCATCCTGGCCAACATGATGAAATCCCATCTCTACTAAAAATACAGAAGTTAGTTGAGTTTGGTGGCACATGCCTATAATCTCAGCTACTCAGGAGGCTGAGGCAGGAGAATCACTTGAACCAGGGAGTTGGAGGTTAGAGTGAGCCAAGATCGCACCACTGCACTCCAGCCTGGCAAGAGAGCAAGACTCCGTCTCAAAAAAAAAAAAAACAAAAACCTGACAACCAAAAACCACTCACACAAAATCATGAAATTGTGTTATGTTCTACCAAGCAAACATTGAGAAACACACAGGGAAAAACACAAAGCATTAGTTCCAGAAATGCCAGAGAATTAAGAACTACAGAGCACTGGCTGGGCATAGTGGCTCACGCCTGTAATCCCAGCCTATAATACCCCCGCTTTGGGGGGCCTAGGAGGGTGTACTGCCTTAGCTCAGGAGTTCAAGACCAGCCTGGGAAATATGGCAAAACCCCGTCTCTACTAAAAATACAAAATGGTAGGCCGGGCACGGTGACTCAAGCCTGTAATCCCAGCACTTTGGGAGGCTGAGGTGGGTGGATCATGAGGTCAAGAGATGGAGACCATCCTGGTCAACATGGTGAAACGCCGTCTCTACTAAAAATACAAAAATTAGCTGGGCATGGTGGTGCACGCCCGTAGTCCCAACTACTCGGGAGGCTGAGGCAGGAGAATTGCTTGAACCCTGGAGGCAGAGGTCACAGTGAGCCGAGATCGCGCCACTGCACTCCAGCCTGGGTGACAAGAGTGAAACTCCGTCTCAAAAAAAAAAAAAAAATACAAAATGGTGATGTGCAATTGTAGTCTGAGCTACCTGGGAGGCTGAGGTATGACAATCACTTGAACCTGGGAGGCAGAGGTTGCCATGAACCAAAACTGCCCCACTGTACTCCAGCCTGGGCAACAGAGCAAGACGAAAGAAAGGAGAAAGGGGAAAAGGGGGGACAAGGGGAAAGGGGAAAATGGAAAAGGAAAAGGAAAAGACAAATAAAGAGTGAGCACTAACTAGCCGGCTAACAGGCATGGAAATTGTCGGCTACTTAGAATCGAATAAAAAAATTGTACAGAAAGAAATCCTAGGACAGTTTCCTTTACTCAAGCCAAAATAAAATCCCCCTGGAATGGGACTCAGGAAGTCCATGTCCCATCCTTTTATTGCCACCTTAAGCTAGCTCTCAGATTAGGTCTATCAAATGTGATCCACAGGCCATCACATTGGCTCAGACAAGACTATGTTTGATCATTCACCCAAGACATGGCACTCTGCAAACATACATTTATTTATTTCTGAAAACCCTTACCAAAAATGACAATCTTCTACTCTGGTATAAAAAGTAGACTGTAGTTGGCAACACTGAGTGCACAGTTCTGGGGTAGGAAAAGTTGTGCTGAGGGCATAAGCCAGAAAGTCCTCTTTCTCAGAAATTTTTACCTAAAATATGGGAGTAAGACAGTAGTCAAAGACAAGAAATATACCTCTCATATGTACTTCTTGTGTGTGACATTTTTTCATTTCTAGAAGAGGATGATGAATCAGAAGAAGATGTATTAATTAGGCTATAGATGATTGATTCGACAAACAAAATAAGAACAAAGTATAGAGGTTTCACCTCCTTAAAGAATCTGCCTTGTGGTTTTACACAGAAATGAAAGCTCCCATTGGTAATCCCTTGGTTATACATACAAAAAGCCACCTCGGAAAGCGCTGGCTTCATCCATAGCATACCTATTACCTTGCAAAGAGCGTAATGAAAATACAAATTTATGATTGGGAATCAGATATAAGTCTGCACTATTATTTAATTTCATGTATTATAGGCTAAGCATGGACTAGAGTCTCAATCCCCAGGCCACAACTGATTAGGTCATTTGGCTGTGAGTAGGTCTTTAATGATATGTAAACATCACAACACCATAGCAACTTTAAAATAACATGGTAGTTGTGAATTTGTTCCCGACTGTATTTTGACCTGAATATTGTATCATCAAGATGAATCTCAAAATAGTAAATCAAAGCAAATTCTTGTAGAGTGAAGATATTATTATGATGTTCCCATCACGAAGTTCAGTAACTTATTGAGAAGAACACATAATATTCATATGACAGAATGAATGAAACCAGTTATCTTAAAGGCCATATTCACTGTTCTGATAGCATTCTTGAATTTATCAGTCACCAAAAGCAGACACTATCATCTATTTTATCTATTAAATTATGTATCTCATGCCACTTGGAACACCAGAAACACAAATTAAAAACAAATAGACAGGCATAAGCTTCTAAGTAACAGAAGAATTAGTCATTAAACACTTAATCAGGCTAACACATTCTAAAAGTGTGTTTTTATTTAGATGAGCATAGACAAAGATGACAAAAATAAGCTTCTTCTGAGTCTTATTATCTCAAGCCCTAAATACAATTCTCCCAGAATAAATCTAAGGGAGGCAAAATCCTAACCCTTACTCGTGACCTATCCTGGGGTCCACAGCTCCTAATAAGCATGATTTTTATTCCATAATTTTCGTCAAAGTCATATGAAATCCTATGAGCACATACATCCTCTTAGAATGAAAAGATGTCAACATTAAACCCTGGTACTAGGGTAAACTGAAGCTCAGGTGGACCTGAGGCAGGATACCTGGAAAGAAAATGTGTACAGTCAGTTTCCCCAGTGGCAGCAGGCTAAGAGTGCATTTTATCCAAAGGGACAGAGATAGGACATTGAGAATAAGAAGTAAACATCTCATGTCCTATAGCTCGTGTATGCTATTCCTTAATTAACACAAATGGTCAGTTCTGAAAAAATGACCCAGGACAAACTGTAAACCATTGATTCACCAAAAACTCTAAGGGCAAAGCATACAGCTTTGTTTGCTTTTTTATTTTTTCTGGAGATGGAGTTTTGCTCTTGTTGCCCAGACTGGAGTACAATGGTGCAATCTCAGCTCACTGCAACCTCTGCCTCCCAGGTTCAAGAGATTCTCTTGCCTCTGCCTCCCAAGCAACTGGTATCACAGGCATGTGCCACCACATCCTGCTACTTTTGTATGCTTAGTGCAGATGAGGTTTCATCATGTTGGCCAGGCTGGTCTTGAACTCCTGACCTCAGGTGATCTGCCCACCTCAGGTGATCCGCACACCTCCGCCTCTCCAAGAGCTGGGATTACAGGCATGAGCCACTGCACCTGGCCCATACAGCTTTTTTATTTAGGAAAACCTGTCAGGTGGTTCCATGCAGAAACAGGAGCTTCCTACTGACCATTTCTTATCTACATATTCAGGAAGCCACATCGGTAACAATTAGCACTGAGCATTATGTATACACCCATTATAATAAACCTACCGGAGACACATAAAATTCAGGATATGGATCTAAGAAACCAGGCAAGCAACTCCTAATTGTATTCAATTTCACATATTAAAAGTAATGTTTATACCTGCATTTCAAACTGCTAGCTCCAATCCTTACTGACTTTGTTATGAATCAACGACCCGAAATATCGCAAAATTACAGCAAACTGAAAATAATAAATATGCCTACCCTTGTATCTAGCCAAGAAGACTAGCATACTATAAAGACAATGCCAATGAATAATAAAACTTCTCAACGTATTAATCCAATTTCATTAAAATGTGAAGTTTTTATTATAAGGATCTCATCAGTTGGGTTAGTCATGCACTCATTGAGAAGAACTCATAATAGGGTTCATGATGATTGAACTGAAAAGCCTACGTCCAATGTTTTGATAATAACAGAACCACACAGTGCTCAGCAGCTGAAAATCAGGTATCAAATGACTCAACAATTTATTCGATGTCAAATTTCACAGACAAGGCGTATTGTGAATCTCTCACATTCTCCCTTAATTGTCAGACTCTTTCAGTCATGACAAGTTCATCAATGGCTAAACACATCCCTACACCACTACAGTCTTATAATTTTAAGGGAGGAATTGCCTTCTCATGTATTTAGAACTAAATGAATTTTGCACATCTAACATGGCACAAATTAATGACAAAATTTCTCAAATTTCCATTAAACCAAGTTCAGATAAAAAGTATAGATTTTCGAGCCGGGCGCGGTGGCTCAAGCCTGTAATCCCAGCACTTTGGGAGGCCGAGGCGGGTGGATCACGAGGTCGAGAGATCGAGACCATCCTGGTCAACATGGTGAAACCCCGTCTCTACTAAAAATACAAAAAATTAGCTGGGCATGGTGGCGCGTGCCTGTAATCCCAGCTACTCAGGAGGCTGAGGCAGGAAAATTGCCTGAGCCCAGGAGACAGAGGTTGCGGTGAGATTGCACTCCAGCCTGGGCAACAAGAGCGAAACTCCGTCTCAAAAAAAAAAAAAAAAAAAAAAAAAAAAAAAAAAACCACAAGGGGGATGCAAACAGCAAAGTGTTAAATGGCTGGTATATAGGGAATTCTAGGTTTCCATTTCTTCCCACTAAAATGTGTGGCAAAGTGTGTCTGAATCAACTTTATTGGAACTCTGGTAGAAAAATCAGATTTATAAAAATTACGAGAATGTTTAATCAGGAGAAAGATGACTTAATCATAGTAGATCTTCATAACATTTTAATTTACTTTAGCCCTACTTGGTCCATAAAGGGAGCAGAGAAGACCTTGTACCCAAGGAGTTATGTTTGTGTCTTCTGACCTGACAAGTTTCCCCAAAGGACTAACATAGGGGACTTGGCTTCGCCTAAGTCAAGATTCTTTCAGGGCAGAGCAGCTTCATGGAGGACTTTTCCCCTAAAATATTGAAAGGCAAATGAATAAGCCATTGCTGCCTGGGAAGTCACTTGCTAACTTCTAAGACAATGGAAAAAAGACTTCCATGACCATACATGACAAGAAATAGTATTTACAAAAAAATTAATTTGGAAACAGCACTAAACAAATAGGTGACCTGACCATAGCCCATCACAAGCAACAACAGCAAACCCTAGCTAGAAAACAATCTGATTTCCAGAGTTACTGTATTATCATATTCAAAATACCCTAGCTGAAGGTCTGACCGTGACATCTGTCACCCCACTGACGGCCAGGGTCGATCTGGCCGATCTGCCTAGCCAGGTGTCCCCTTCCATCCTCACCGCTCCACGTGTCTTACTCTTGCATGCGCTGCCAAAGAAGATGACTTTCCTGGATACAAGAGAACCATGCTTTGGTCACGGTATAATGGTTGCTGTGTTCTCTAGTAGAACCTCCAAACACAACATCCTAGCTGGGTGTAGTGACTCAAGCCTATAATCCCAACTCTTTGGGAAGCTGAGGTGAGAGGATCACGTGAGCTCAGGAGTTCAAGTACAGCCTGGGCAACACAGTAAGACCCCATCTCTAAAAATGAAAATAAATGATCCAGGTGTGGTGGTATGCACTTGTAGTCCCAGCTACTCATGAGGCTAAGGCAGGAAAATTGAGTTCAGAAGGCTGGGCTGCAGTAAGCCACGAGATTGTGCCACTGCACTCTAGCCTGGGGACCAGAGCAAAACCATGTCTCAAAAACAAACAAAAATATTAACAAACTGTCCAAGAGGGAACAAAGATATTAGACTGAACTAGACTAGACAAGTACATGTCTAGTTAAGATCTACACATCTAACGTGGATCAGCAAACTCCAAGCAGAATAAACTCAGGGATCTACACCAAGAAACATAATGACAGTGTTCAAAGATAAAATCTTGAAAGCCACAGATAGAACTGAACTGTCACATACATGGGATCTGCAGTAAGATTAACAGCCAGTTGCTCATCAGCATTAAAAAAAAAAAAAAAACTAAAAGGAAGTGGGATGACATATTAAACGTGTTAAGAGGGTGCTTCACAATGAAATCACATGACAGTTGGCATTAGCTCAAAGCCATACGAATAAAAAAAGGACACCAGTAAAATTAATTATATAGGAAATATAAAAGCCAGTATTACTGTATATTGGATTTGTAACTCTTTTTTCTTTTATATGATTTAAAAGACAAACATAGCTAGTTATAAAGGTATGTTAATGGGCATACAATGTATAAAAATATGATTTGTGACAATAACATAAGTAGGGATGCAGAGGAGTATAGGAATAGTTTTGTATACTATTAAAGCCAAGTTAGTATCAATTCAGACTGGATTGTAAAAATGTAGGATTTTAATTAAAATTCCCAAGATAATAACTAACAAAATACAGAAAAGGAAATGAGAAAGGAATCAAAATGCAACAGTATAAAAATCAAATAAAAAAGAATGTATGTAGATATAGTAAAATTAAAGAAAAAACGGTAGTACAGATACAGAAAAAATAGCAAAATAGTAGAAGTAAGTTCTTACCACATTTAAAAGTAAATAGATTAAACTCTAATTGAGTTTAACTTTAATCAAAAGTCAGATATTGGCAGAATGAATTTTAAAATTATCCAACTGCATGCT